TTCAAGTTCACTCGCATATTGCTCAACTAGCTCAGCACTAAAAATAAATTGCAAACGTGACCAATGAGACGATCATTATTACAATACTAAGAGTATCATTTTTACTGTCATTATCATTGTCCATGTTATACTCATTAGTCTTACTACCACACTATTGCTATTATAAGCACTTTTATGATACTTATCGTCCATCATAATCCTCCTCAGACCAGCGTAGGAAATTTCTCGAATCAATTTGACCATAAAGGATGAGTGAACGAAGTTGAAAACATACCGATGCTTTTTATCGGGCATTTTGATGTTCAACGAGCAGACAGCTGGTGATGAAACCTGCATGATGGCATCATGAAAGGCGTTCAAGTCCGCGTCTGATATCGCCGAATACAAGGCAATCACCGCTTCTCGACTGCTCGTGTTTTCAATATTTGCGATCGTTTCATCGCGGATCTGAATTCATCAAAATGAAAGATTGCATCATTTTATTCATTCTGCAAATGGATTGATATAAACAATACTATCAGTTGCACTGCTGCTAAGATTATTACTATCATCGTAAGATCTATCACTACTAAGAATTATCATTGATACGGCTATTATCATCACTATTATATTCCACGATGATTATTACTTCACTCACCTTAACACTGAGTGTATTCGTGTTTTCCGTGCCACTCATAAATGACAACACTATATTTGCAATATCCGTGCACAGTGTTCTCATTAGATATGAACGTAGATCTGTTGCCACTGCATCTGTAAGATATTACACTGGAGAAAATTCAATGTAACGAAATCACAACGATCACAGGATTGCAACAAAAATAGCAACGGTCGTCAACTGGAACAATTATATTGGTAACAAAACGCATAATTGCATATGCACCAAACTCATCCTCAAATATGAACTATAGTGACAATAGAAAGAAAGAAATATTTAAATTAAATCATAATCGCAAAACAAACCATCGAAACTGTTAGTTGCTTGTTCAAAAACACAAACATTATAATAAAGAATCTTNAACTGCACAAACGATCTCTTCTGATCTTGAGCTGATATGGTTTGCACGGTACGTACAAGAGTTTCGATACGTTCCTTCAAGATTCCATCCGCATACTGCGCAATTTGTTCGATGATCTCATCCAATAACTCCTCGGGGATTGTCATTTGCCTTTCCAATTCACTTTTCAGTTCTTCAGCAGAAAGATGGACAGATGCCGACGATGCTGAATTAAACAGAAATTCATTCACACTGAATAATGGAAATGAGATTAAATTCTCTCAGTCAAGAGGTTTGCACTGAACCGGCAGAAATATACGGACGATATAAATACAAAATGCATTCAATTACTACTGTTACTTCTCTCATTCCCCCATACCTAACAACAAAAATAAACGATCTCAGTGATGATCAAGCTAACCAGAGAGTGCTTCCTCTTTAGCAGCGCCTTTGTTCGTTTTACCGCGACCTCCTTTTCCTTTCTTACCTCCCTTCCCAGTTGTCCAATCATCATCTTGAGCGGGCTAAAAACAAATCAATTTCAAAACATCGACTATTCATTTATTCTACAATCGAATATCTACCTAAAATATTCTATATAC